AGAGAACATGAAAAGGTGGGAGTTGCCCAACCAACTCTAAGAGGCTAATTAATTCAGATGAGCAATTATCAGCAGGAGAAAAAAACCTTTTGTAGTGATAATCAAGATGGCCCATTTCAGACAGTTTGACAAGAAGGTGTGAGGATACTTAACATGGGGAAATAGATTCAATGTGTGTAATGGCTCAGCCATTCCCAGTCTCTATGCAAGCCTAAACTCACTCCTTCTTTAAGGTTATGAAACCTGAATCTTCACCTCAAGGTAAGGGGGGTGAGGGAGCCTATAACCCTCATCATATGTGCTTCACCAGCCTGATAATATGCATGGTTCTGTTGCTGTAGCCCTCATGTGCCCTTCTCCCTACTCCACTGCAGTATTTGTCACGATCCCTTGTTACTTTACTTCTAATTGTAATTTAAGTTGTAAACTTTGGGGCAGAGACATTGAGCCACATTCTCTTTCCACTTACATTAGTGTCCAGATTAACTCCATTATACTCTGGATGCAAACTGGTGTAAATGGGAGCAGAATTTGACTGTGTTGTCTTTTGTCTGTAAAGCCCCATGCCCATTTATGGCCCTGTGGAAAGAATAGACAATACTAATATGCTCAGTGGCAAGGGTGTGGCCGAAGTGTAAAGTGATGTTTGCTTTTGTTTAGGGACAAAGAATCCCCACTGAGCACAGAAACTTTGGGTGGGTATTTTGAATGTAAACATGGTGACAAATTTTCTGTTCCCCCACACCCACAAAGCCAAATTTGATTTAGCGGCTGTGCTGGGCATTCTTTAGAACAGTGTAAAGGGATTCAGTTACCAGAAAAAAGACCAGAGGGGAAAAGCACTAACTGGGGCTGGGGAGAGGGAAATAAACTAAACTGACCTTGATCCAAGGCATTCTTTGGGGGCAGTTAGTAATCAGATGGGATTAATGGCTCTTGTTTCTCCCTGGGCTGCCCACTATATGCCTCAGGCCCTGATTGCTAGTGTTTAGATTTGAATAATCCCATGGATAAATTGAATCTATGGATAATCTCATATTCTTCTCATTTCTGAATTCCAGTGTTACGAAGTAAGTTTGCGTGGACAGCAAGATTCCTCAAACAGGAGCCTCTCTCCTACCTTACTCTATTCTCTTCCTTCCCCAAAATAAAAATGATGTTTCTGTGCTATAAAGACTATCCAAAAGTATTTGTTGCTGATATCCCCAGACCATCTCTAGTCAATATTCAGGTCCCTTGCAATGGGGTGGACAGGTGTTTGTGTACCTGCTCCCTCATCATTCATTCATTAGAAATCTTGGCCTGCATGCAGGATCAGTAGCTAGTTTATCTACATGGGTTAGTAGTTCTGACATGGGCTTGAGTTCTCTTTCCACTTTACAAATGGATGTCTCATAGCTTTAAGGTCTTTGTTTCACCCAGTCTACCTCACCCTTCTTTGAAGGTTCCTGCTATTCTTCCTGGTCTTTCTGGACCAGCGTTTCCAGAAGCATCTCATCTTCTCTGAAGAAGGGATTGCATAATCAACAATGCTGATTCGGTGCAGCAAGGGCAGGTGAGGTATAGGTTATTCTCATCAAAGATCACGCACACCTCACAGGCACAGCCAGCATCAGTTTGCTAGTCCTTATTTCCTGTGCTGGGCCCTATGTCACAGCAGTGTCCCTCTAGCTGAGGGTAGGTGCTAAATCTCCTCAATAACACTGGTACCCATGATGCAAAGTGTTCAGTAGGAATCTCCATTACAAGAAATTTAAAATAGTAAATTATAGTAGAAGCCTAATCATTGCATGAATTTGGTCTTCTGCAACCAAACCATCTTGGGCTGTGGCCGTGTCAGATTTCTTAAGAGAAGCAGGGTTGGACCTTGGCATTACCTGGATGAGAGAACTCCAGGGTAAGTCCAGAGCTACAAGAAGTGTTGGTGCTTACCTCTGCAAGTCAGTACTGACTCAGTACCCCTAACCTGGTGGTAGAGGGTGTAGTACTGCAGGAAGTGGGGCTAGTGACTCAGTAGTTAACCTTTTCCTCTGCACCAGTTAAAAAACCAATGTCCCAGTATAGGCTTGTGGGGAGAGGGGGTTATGGAAATCAAGGTACTATCTTTTAGATGAAAAGCAAAACAGAGGTCCTGCCCTGTGATCACTGAAGAACCTACAGTGCTCTTACAAGTAAGCCCTAGCCAAATTCCAGTTTGGATTCATATCATGCCTTCCCAAGCACCCCCTGCAGTTCCAACTGCATATGGGTCTGGGCTTCTGCTGCACTTCCTGGCCCTGAATGCTAGAGTCATGTAGCTCTGTGTTTGGACAATTACTGCAGGCTGACGAACCAAGGGACACACCCTACTCCTGTACTTATTCGTTACACCAATACTAGCTTGGATTCTAAATACATTCTATGGGTGGCGTACCTGAGATAACTTATCCACTGATGTTTTAAAAACTCCCGCACCCCAATCTGGGTCTATGCTGGTTAGGTACTATGTATATATCTTATGAACCTTGTAATCCCTCATAACCCAAGCCTGACCCCAGATGTACAGTACCTTCCTTCCTAACTTGTGTAAATTTGATTTTAAACATTAACCTTAATAAAAGTTTTAAATCTGTTCTTATCAGTGTAGAGACTATAGTCTTGATTTTGCAAGGAATGTCAGGGCCTGTCCATGGATACTTTAAAGGGATTAACTAGGGTGGGAATAAATTGCTGCCCTTGGGCAGGCCGGTCCTATATTATTATTATTGTTTTATTTGTTTTAACAGTGCCCTAAAGTGGCTGAGGAGCTGCCCAACATAAAAGAGACAGTTCCTGCCCTGAGGAATTTACAAACTAGTCTTAGGGGTACGTCTACACTGCACTTAGACACCGTGGCTGGCCTGTGCCCACTGCCTCAGGCTCGTGAGGCTTGGGCAAAGGGGCTGTTCACTTGTGGTGTAGACCTTTGGACTCGGGCTGTAGCCCGAGGACTGGGACCCTCCCACCTCACAGGGCCCTAGAGCCCAGGCTCCAGCCCAGCGGTGTAGCCATAGCCAGGGTGACCCCATGTGTGAGTTAGCAGGATGGTCGGGCGGGCTAGAGGAGGCAGAAAGCTGGGGCTTAGAGGGAGCCAAGGCTTGTGGGCAGCAGGCAGGAGTGAAGAGGTTCTTAATGAAAAATACCCTCGGCGGGTGGGCGACTTACTCAGCTAGTCTCTTGGCAGGAGAGGGTAGTGGCTCTGCGGCCCAGCTCCGGCGGGTGTTCCAGGGGTAACTGCTGCCCTGTGGCTGTTACGCGTGTGAGCACAAGAGGAACACTGGCCCTGTGCACGGTGGGCGCTCTCCGGGGCCTAGCTCAGGCGTTCGGAAAGGCCTGGCACTGGGCTTGGCACACGCCTCTTTAACTTGCGGCTTTCTCTCCTGTACTAAACTCGCCTGCAACCTGCTGCCTTTCCCCGGCGCTAGGGATCGCCTGGCTGCTTTGCCAGGCTCATGCCCATTCCCCAGGCTCGGCGTGCGCCCCGGGCCGCTCCCTCTCTGCCCCCTCCTGGTCTCCACCCTGCGCGCCGCCTTTGTGTGCGCTCTCTCCGCCCTCCGCCCTCTACCTGGGGCTTCCATAGGCTGCTGCCGTGTTTGCACGCTGCCTGGCTAGGGCGCTGCCTGGTTTTAGGGCTGGGCTGGAGGGATGACAAAGCAGAGGCGAGCCGGGCTCAGCCCTCCTCCTCCGGCTGCCCAGCGCCGCTGTTATGGAAACCAGCCCGGCTTGCCCGAGCACATAATGGAGCAGCGATGGCCAAGGCCGGCAGCAGCGGCGCAGCCCCCCAGGAGAGGCCGGGGGTCCCGGAGGGCCAGGACCCCTGGGAGCTGTCCCTGGAGGAGGTGCTGAAGTCCTACGAGCAGCCCATCAATGAGGAGCAGGCGTGGGCCGTGTGCTACCAGTGCTGCCGGGGGCTGGCGGGCGCGGAGGGGCGCTGGGGGCCGGCGGGCCGGATCCGGGACACGGCGGACATCCTGCTGCACAAGGATGGGACGGTGACCGCCCGGGGGGAGCAGGGCTCGGCCGGTGAGTGCCATGCGGGGGGGCGGGGGGCGCAGGACTCCCTCCACCCCCTGTGCGGAGCGCAGAAGGACTTGGCCGGCGAGTGCCATGGGGTGGGGGTGGGGGCTGCTGAGGATAATCTCCGGGCCTGGGGGCCTCTCCCCATATTGCAGAGGGGGGACTGGGGCCGGCTCCGCAGCCCTGTGATCACACCCTCCAGAGCCACCCGGAGCCGGAGGGAAAGTCCGAGCCAGGCCTGGCTGGGAGGGGAGCAGAGACCCCAGGCTCCCGCCCCGTCGTTTGCAGGGTGCACCCGAAACTGCCCTCCCCCCACCCCGTCTGGGCAGCTGCTTCTCCGGGGGGCAGCAGCAGAGGGTTGCGGGGAATTCCTGCTCAGCTCGCCGCCTGTCGCAGCCTTGGCTCCACAGTGCCTGTGCTGTGTGAACACTTCCCCTTGGCCAGCCTATGGATTCCAGACAGCGTGTCAATAGGTGTATTTGTAACTGACAGTTGTGATAAGCCGACAGCTCTCTGTATGGTACATACAGCTGCCCAGGTGGTGGGAGACCTTAGAGAGGTTTGCGGGCATCCTGCATGCAAAGGGTTGTGAGTCGGGTGGATGGAACAGACATCCCTGTCGTTCCTATTGCAATGTATACACGTGACCTTGCACCACTGGGATGCTGTGATTGAGGTGGTCACATTGTGTCAGGATTTTCCATTTGAAACCCCCTATTCTTAAGGCTTTAAAAATTTTATTAAGATGATGTTAAAAAAAATAGTGAACAGTTTGAGCATAGAAGTTTCTGGTTATCAGGGAATAACATACAGATTTATAGAGGATGCAAAGTTTGGTTTAAGATAAAGTGGCATGAGGAATACATAATCTGCAATATCCCTGATTGGGGGTAAAAGGTTGATGGGTCAAAGTTCAGACATTGAGATATGAGGGTATGAAGTTCATAAAGTGGCTATGTTCGGGTGTGGATTATAATGAGTGGATATGATGATGAGGATGGATTGACCCTCATTTGGTGAGATTTAATGTTTAGGGAGTTTACGGTTCCAGTTCATATGATCCAACGGAGAAGGTCACTTGGTCCCTTTCTCGTAGTGGGAGAACGATGTCACTCTGGCTCACGCCTCCTGGTACTGTCGGTGGCCAGTGATGTGCTCGATGTAGATGTCTCTGGACCATCGGATGGCATCTGAGACCATGAGGCGCCGCATGAGACGTGCGTAGCGTCGACCGATCCCGCAGGTCCGCAGCACACGCTCGTTGCAGGGGTCCCAGGCACGCAGGGCTCCAACAATCAGGATGTCCATCTGCAGCTCATAGCCCTTCGCTCTCACATAAAAAATTAATTGAGTTGAAACCCACCACTCTGATTGTGGGAAGTGGGGGGAAGGTGAGAGAGAGGACATTTGGGGAAATTCTGTTTGGGCACTTTTTAAAAAAAGTTCAGAATGAACAAACCCCAGAGTTATTTGGCCCTAGAAAACATGCCTGTCCATAAACAGGCCAGGTCCTGGAAAATTTATATCATGTGTAACCCAGAGACTTATAAATATTTTGCTCTTCAAACTTTCTAGCTCTTTGGGTTAAATACTGGTGGTTAGTAATCTGTGTATTAAGAAATGTACTGACAAAATCACCTTACGGGAAAGTTAAGATTGGGAAAAAAAGAAAGAAAACCAAATACATTCATGTCTAAGGGTGAAATAATAATAAATATAATGAATAATGGAAATGAACCAGGCCCTGTAGTATCTAGGCAGAAAATGGCAATATTAAGGAAATACACCAGTTGCTGTGGCATCTGAGGATATGATGCTTTATCTGAATCACCGTGCTTCCCTGGTTCTCTCTCAGCCTTAATATTAAAGGGATATCACACTGCATGGAGAAGACACACACACAATTACTGTGAAGCTGCTCAGTAAGATATTGAAGTGTTGGACACATGACAAGTGCATTGTTTGGGGTGTCAAGATACAGAGATGTTAAAATTCAAAATCTGGATAACAGTAAAAGTCTGGGAGTGCAGATCAGTTAGACTCTTGACCACAGTCACTGGTCATCTTAGTCCTCCCATGTATTCTTTCTGTCAAGAAGGGCCAGGCCAGGCCAGCAATGGCAGACGCTAGCAGCACACATTCAGAGATTAGGAGATGTCTAAATTACATGTGTAAAACTGAACTTTAAACTTTATTGGATCATCCTTATTACCGATTCATGAGCGCCTCTTACAAAGACACATTTCATAACCTTAGTAGTTTTATGGTCTATAATTATACCCCCAGTCAGTGGAAATTGTTTGCCATTTGATGGGTGTCTCAGACCTGCACCAACAGACTAGTAGGCCTGTAATAATAACGATCATGGTAATACTTGTACAGCACTTTTCATCTTCAAAGCTCTGTACAAACATGAACGTACTACTGTACTTTTTGCCTCTGTTCTGTCGGGTAGGAAAGTATTAACCCAGTTTTACAGAGGGGGAAGCAGACAGAGAGAGGTAAAGGGTCAGATCCTGTGAGGCACTGAAGCACTGTTGGAGGGGGTGCAGAGCAGAGATGCTCAGCGCTTCACATTGTCAGCCCCTAACTGCTCTGCCCGATGTCACCCAGCACTCTCAAGCTATGGGAGGGAGAAATCAGATGGTTTATGGTTGAAAAGCAAGCCTCTTGCAGCCTGTTTTGGCTGTGAGATAACCTCACTCCTGGAATTCTTGAGGCACTTGGCCTTCAGCCTCACTACACCTGACAGCCTCCAAACAGCCACACCTGTCCTGTCAGTTACTGACCCTTGCACGCTCCACAGCTGGGTGATTCAGTGGCATTTAGCTGAGCAATTCCAATTATCATGCCTGTACCACTTGTGAGTTCTTCCTCCTCCTGACGCTTCTGGGGATAAATAGGATAAACAAACAGTTAAAAAAACATGAATGTGCATTATACAAATGTATGCTACTACTGTGCAGCTCTGTGCCTCTGACCCAGCATAAACTCAGCTTGCCAGCCCCAGCTCTGTGCTTTTACTGCCCAGCTGAACGAGAAGGAAGCTGGGTTGTTACTCTGATAATATTGCCTGAAAACTTTTCACATAACCTCCAAAAACTGGCTGATCCTGTTCCGGCACAAGCACAATTTAAATAAATATGTGCCCGGATACAAAAGGAAGCCACTTTTCAACACAATACTGAACATACTGAGTGATCTGACTTTAGTCTTTGTTCATTAAATCATTATAACTCTATAGCCAGTTTTGCCCACAGGCAATGCTGATCTCTTCAGTGGGAAGGAGGCCAAGAATTGCATCATTTGAATGGTCCCTGAAGGAACAATACTGCTGTGCCATGTTCTGTGTAGAAGCATCTCCACTCCTGTAGAAAAGCCTCCATTTTTAACATGGCTTTTGCATGGCTAGTGATATCTTGTGAGTTCAGTTTGCAGCCTCCCTCTCAACACAGTGCAATTCATGCAGGGTCTGCAGGACCTGCCATGTGTGTTTTCATAGTTTGCATGCTGGAAGTGCTTTCTTGTTTGCTTATTATTAAAATCTTTATTGCCTGTTCCCCAGCCAAATTTCTGTAATTCTCTTGGTAAGTGCCACTCTGGGCAGCTTTCAGGGTTTTTAGAAATGGAAATGGCATTGCCTCCTTGGGTGTTTAATACAAAATGCACTTAAATTGTCAGGAGCAGTGATACGAGCCTGGAGCATCGTTAGGCGTCTGTGTTCGTTTCCTAGCAGAGTGTTGGCTAAGGAGAGTGGCTTTAGGAGGCAGTCTCTTGGTCCTGGTAGGAATATGGATTTGCGGAGTCCTGAGACTAAGGGGAGCAGTTTTGCCTTTTTGGTTTCTTGATTGGGAATGAGCAGCACTGGCCATATGGTCCCAGAGGTTGTCTTGTACTATTGGTGTGCTAGTGCCATGGGGGGAGCAGCAGGATTTCTACACCTGTGATTTAGGATGAGGGCGGGCAGTTATGACAAGGTTTCCTCACTCTGTGTGGCCTCCCAGACACCCTCTCCCCAAACTGTGAACAATGAACTCGTGAAGCCCAGCTGTATTGCAGCTGGGCCCCCTGCCCATTGAGCTGTTACATGTTTTGATGTGCACAAAATCCCCTCTGATGCAATCTGGCTTCAGGATTTAGCATATCCCAGACTCCACTGGATGCAACCATTCAACATGGTGCTGCAGTAGAACTGCTGTTAACCTCCTAAACATGCCCACACACTGTCCGGTGGTTTCTGCATTAACACCTTACCAAGGTTGGCTCCTGTTTATCGGTGTTTCTGCCTGTAACTGGCTCCCGCTGAAGAGCATCTCTGTCTGGTTAGAGCAAAGCATCATTCTCCCTTCCCTAGAAAGACCTGTAAGTGTTGCCTCTGAGGCTACCAGCCCTGGCTTCTCTAAATAACTGGTATTGAATGTTCGTCCAAAATTGTACCTTTGCATGGCTTAAGGTGCAGGTTTCATGTCTGTAGGGGGAGGAGGCATTCCTCTTGGTGGGCAGGGGAATCTTGCTGGAGTTCTGAGTATCCCCCCTTTCCTCTTGCTTTAAACTCCTTCAAGGCCCTGTCCTTAGTTACCATCCTTCTGGGCAAGGACTGGATGCTGCTTGTAAATGCAGCCAGAGGGGAAGGGGGTGCAACTGAGCACCAAGACAACACCCCGCACTGTCTGAAAGTTCTAGCATGTGTCTAGGAGAGAATGTTTCGGCTGCAGGGAACACCAGCCAAAGACAGAACGAGAGAGAGAAGGGAACTGTCCTAAAAGTGACATTCATTCTGGTTATGTAAGTGTAGCCGGGTTGCTCCCAGGATATCAGATAGCCCAGGTGGGTGAGATTGTCTCTTTTATTGGGCCCAACTTCTGTTGATGAGAGAGACAAACTTACTGCACAGCCCTGGGTTCTTCTGCTCTGACTTTGTCACTGACTCATGGTGTGATGCTAAGAAAGTCATTGAACTGGTCTATGCCTCAGTTTCCCCATCTGCAAAACCCACCTATTTCTCT